TGGCAGCAATACGCAAGCAATGTGGAAAAGATTGTGAATTTGGTCAGAGACGATGGAGCAAAAAAAACGCAACTTTCGATAGGCTGACTCACGCCTTGTTGCCCATTCAGTACACGCCGAGGCACCTATCATCCTCAAGCCCGCAGACTTGCCTCAAAACTTGGCTTCCATTGGAGCAGCAGAAGTCGTACCAGATGTAGCATCAGAGTCGGAGAGTCCAGAGTTGATCGCAAGAGGCTGGTGGCTCAGAAGTGATCCTTCTACGTTCATGCAATGCGTCGCGTATTTAAGGGGACTAGTCTCAAACCAAGAGGTTCCATTTGATGTGAGTCAAAACACTTTTGGGCGGCCATTCCACTCACCGTTATCCTAGGGCGTATTCGGCTTCAGGTGTGCCCCTAAATTCCGACTAGAATTACAAACTGACTCTGCTCTAGTCAGGGTGGATGTGCTGCTTGTCTACTGGCCGCTCTGGTAGGTCGACCCATTACGCCCAACATAGAACCTTTTAAACTTTGTCCAGCTCGAACGACCACAGGTCATTCCAGAGTTCACAATAGACGGACAAGCCCCTCATCCACCTCTCAAGTTTTGCATAGCTGTCGCCGGATTCCGACCACACGACGAAAAGATTGACCCACTCTTGGAGGCGGGAATCGACACACCGACCGTACACGTCCTCGGCGTCAACGACCAAATCGTCAGCCTCGAACGATCTCAAACTCTAGTCGACATTTGCCGGAATGCACGAGTAGAAAAGCACGAAGGAGGTGAGCCGCCACTACCCGAACGAAACTAGGACTAACCCCTTTTAGGACACTTTATCCCGTCAAAGGCAACGTGGAGACAATTCTTTGCGCAATACATCAAAGCAGACGATCATTCGGATCCGAGCCCCATCGCTTCTCCAAACCCTTTACTAACCGGAAGTGGCGCCTCCACCCCAGCTCTTCTCTCACGTCCCCCTTCACGGTAATACAGGGTCGCTTATTTGAAGCTAGACTTCTTATTCTCTATGCAATACAGATCCCGACTATAGACAGCAGGAAGAGAGAAAGGGAGAGACACTTGTTTGATAGAGATTGGTAAAAAAAAAAATGCTAGAAAAGAAATCCCGATATAAAGGAAAAATAATGGAAGGAGGTGCAAATGATTGGAT